ATGGATACCAACACTACAATAAGTGACCTTCAATTGGTAGATGAGTCCCTCTATATTGTGTCCTTATTGCCCACAGCCGATGAACCAGGGATACACATAAAATCTCCGAAAATCTCAATTTCCATTCCAAGTATTGATGTAGAAAAAAGGAAAAATACTGACAGAGAAGGAAACATTTATACAGATCTAATGTAAAGGAATATGATTTTAAATTTAAAACAAATGGCCAGGTTTTATAGCTTGACACAGGAGGAGAGAAAGAGGAAAAAATGATTCAAAAGTTTTGTTGAACATCTTTATACTGATGAAATAAATAAGACTAGTATCACGGTTATTATTTATGGATTCCAACAAAGCAACTTTTTAAATGTAGTCTTTCATAATTCGCTATATGACTCCGTGTCATCTTATATATGTATTTCCTAACGTAGAAGCATATGCCCTATCAATTTTACTTCAATTCTCCGTCTTTAACTACTAAAGCGGCGAGTAAATCAGCTCATATTTCGAAAGTACTTTGAATTCCCCTTTATGATATCAAAATAGTATTCTTTATGTTCCTCTCTGAGATAGAGTTCAGTTAAGCCACCCATATATAATTAGTTTTATTTAAGAAAGTTCGTTACTTTAATGAAAAACAAACATTTTTCAGCTGTTTTATTTAACACATCCTGTCTCTCAATTTTTAGCCGTTTCATGGTTACAATGTATGAATTTAACATATTTCTCGAAAATTTACATATTATGCTTTTTTTAAAAATATTTTTAAACAAAATTGTCACATCTGTACAAACGTTAAAAAATCCAAAAAAAAATTGGCATTTTTAATGAAATTATTGACAATATTTAGAGTTTTTGGAGTTTTGTACCTGTTAATCATAAGTATTATACTTAAATCCCGGATAAATATCCTTCTTCCTTTACCGGAGAAGATGCCTGTCAAAATTACTAAAAGCACGCTTTTTCATTGCAAATGTTGGAAATTCCCAAAATAAAGAAAAAGAAATGCTACAGACGCAAATATAAACTACATTACTCCTTTTTGGGCTCATGTGTTTCAAACGCATGTTGAATGACAGTTCCTTGACCGGAAGCCTAAGTGTAACTACACTACGCCAAGTTAGAGGAAATTCGACCTTAGTATCTGAAAAACAGGCACTTAGAAATTTCCAAGAATATTTATTTCGCTCAGATAAAGACATTGATAAATCTTATGCATGGTAGAAATCGGGCGGCGAATGTTGTACAGGGCGGACTAGTTTTGATATAAAATAGTTATATCCCTATATAATTTACATCCCAAAATTAGGGTGTTGCGTGTCTATTGACTGTGAGTATATGAAACTAATCTTCTTTGGTCTTTAAAAAAACATTTATCATAATGAGATACATGTAAGGTACTAATGTACTTTTTCTACTTATCTATCAACTTCAAGTATAACTAACCATTAAACATAACTTGCTAAATGTTTTATCCAATTGGATTTTTAAGAAGTATTCAATAAGAATTGAAGTCCTATTGAAGAGCTTGGTACTTAAAACTGTATTTTGCAGATCGCGGACCTTTCGTATAAAACCCGGGAAACAGAGACCCCTTGGCTGCGTTTCGAATAAAGGTAGAGATTTAAGGTCTTGGTTGATATATGATGGCGTTGTTGTTTAAATGAAAAATTCCCTTGTAGGACGTTAAACAATTTTCAATCAATAAATCAATGTAACATGACCAATCGTTCTGAACTATCACCAGAACCTATGCCTGAAAGGGCTTTGAATTCTGAAAGAAGCAATGTACGTGTGTATATAAGTAAAAACTTTGGTTTACTGCTAAAACACATTACAGTTAACATTATAAAGATAGTCATATTTACAAAAACATAAATTAAAACCTCTAATTAATTAAACGTTAAATTTTCTACTTCAATATCCTTGCTCATCATAAATTTTCATTTAATTTATTTGCTAAATACCTAAGAGCAAATTATAAAATGAATGTTTTTTATATAATCTTTCTTGTTCTATCCTAAAGCCATAGCTCTTGAATATGGTCATAAAATACACAATTCCAAAAAAAAAAAAAAAAAAAAAAAAAAAAACAGCAAAAAACAAAAACAAAAACAAGCCCTGCATGACTATCAATGCTTGCAATGAGTTCATTTATGTAATATACGTTGAAAAAATGTAACTGTTGCATTTAAAAGTTCTGTGTTATTTGCAAAAAGATGAAGATATTTATGCTGTGTAATAAAAATATAAGGCATGGATAGTTTATCTTACAAAACTTAACAAAATTACCATTTCAAAACTTAAAACAGACCACATTACAACATATGACGAGGACTGATTTTGTCGAAGGTTTTCAGAGAAAAATCTTAAAAATAAACTTATATCATCTTTCGACTGTCTTTTGTTTTGTAAATATGAGATAGGATGATCAACTAAAGTTGAAAGTTTAAACAGACACACAACGGGACTGGCCTCAACGGGCTTCCGTAAAAAATTACATGTTTCTATTTTAAACTGGTAATTCCCTTTTTATTAATAGACATGAGTACGTCATGAATAACTTTAGAATTTTTATTTACAGAGTCTCTAGGCAACCTTTAAGCACAGGTAAGTTTATTTCTATTCTTTTTTTTTATTTAATTTCAAACACAATTTTTTCTTTAATTTTCATTTATTGCACTGTTTCGGTCCCATGTGTACGTTCTGAAAACACACACACATATATATATATATATACAGAGGTTGTCCAAGAAATTCTTTGACAAATACTTTTTTAATAAGGCACGCAATGGCAAGAATGTACAATAATTTCTTAATGTATACCATGACTTAGTAAATATACAAACAATGTTAACAAAGTAAACTACATTATGCATATTATAGGTGTACAATCTTTGTATATACAAGCAACACGGACCAGTCTGATGTACCGTTAATTTTATTTTTATTGTCAAAAATATAGCTTTCGATCCATGCATTTTTATAATGTTCATAGACACTCCCTTAATAAATAAGGATACCATATTTTCATCAAATTACATTTGATTTATACTTTTTGTCCTCGAAATCGTGTAAATATCGAATACATCAATTACAAATCAAAAGATAAATTATAACCAATAAACTATTTGAAATATATTTTGTGTCTCACGTCGGTTCAACCATATAAGATATATCTATATGAATGGATTTTGTCCCGTTCAGATCCCCGAGGTCGCTCTTCTGCATATTTTTGAAACACAGTTCTCGCGGTTTTCGCCTACTACTCTCAGTGTCTAAGTAGTAAGCAATTCTGAACGTGTCAGAAAAAAAAATGATAACAGATATATTTGTGATACATTTTATTTTAATAAAGCTTTGAATTGTTTTATTAAAAAAATTATCATTTTAATTACATTTTATATAAAAGTTGATGACATGCTAACCCTGGTCCGTGCGCACTATCGGCGACCTTAAATCGACGCTATTTTTACGAAAAAATAAATAAATAAATAATAATAATAATAATTGTAAGTCTAACAATAAAAACCAAACTATTTTGACTTGATTTTTAAAAACTAATATTTTGATATTCAATAATTATATTTTGAACCATTTTTTTTTTACAAAAACCCCAGTGTCCAAGAACTTTTTTGACAACCCTTGTATGTATTTAAACACATAGTCCATGCCAATTAAAATTACCAATGAAATGCAAAAACAATAACTAATGCGCATTGCACATTATCCAGTCTTTCTGTCCGCACTTACAGAAATCAGATTTAGAGAAAAAGACGAAAAGTTAAAAAAAAATAGCTGGGCGAAAATATAAAGTCAGAGTAAAGGTTTGTTTTACAAAATGAAATCAGATCCCTAGAAAAATCCTTGTGATTATGTTCCTATGACTATTCGATGTGTTCTTTGTGAGCAAAGCATCGTCTTAATCATTCAAAAAAATCCCAAATGCTGAAATATGAAAATATTAAATATCCATCATGGTTTTAAGAAAATGAAGTTGGAGTTATTCTTACTTTGTATTTAAGACAACAAAATCTTGAATTATAAAGTCAATTCTCCTCTCCTAATAAGCCTATCGGACATTTATAGACAGCTTCCTGGTACTTTTAATACAAAACAGCTCAAATATATGTAAGAGAAACCAAAAACATTGTCAGCAAATTTGAATCCCTATTTCAAACCCGATACCTAGTTATATCACCTATGCTGTAACTTAAATATGTATTTACATAACAGCCACCTAAAACATAAAATATGCAGAAAAGACACTGCCAAAAATGAAAGAAAAGTTTGTTACGATTAATACCAATCCTAGATATCAGTTACCCAATAAAGTAAATAACTCTGCTAGGGAACAATTAATTTGAATTTAATGGAAAAATGTATAACACATACTAGGACGCAGCATTGGGGTGACTCCTTCCCCGGAGATATGCGACCTGCGCCTTTTTGATATCTTTGAAAGTATTATAAAAAATATAATCCCACACACGCAATTTTGTCCGACTTTAGATATAGATGTGACGGTTTATTGGCAATGATAAAAGAGAAAGTAAAATAATGCATTTTTGGTAAACTTTAGCACAAATACCGTACTTGTAATTCACTTACAATATTCCTGCAGTTAAAAATACTACGCAAACACTGGAAAATAACTCCTAAAGATAAACAGTTTTCTCCAATATTACTGATACTTTCTATCATTGGATACACGTTCAAGCGAAATACAAAAACAAAAAAAAAAATAAAACAAACAAACAAACAAAAACAAAAACAAAAAAAAAAAAAAAAAAAAAAAAAAAAAAATTGAATGAGCTTTTAAATTCCAATAGACAGCATATTAATTAAAGCCATATATGGCGTATGTACAATGAAAATTATTAGACGAAAATTATAAGAACTTATTATTTGTATCATTACTTTATGTAAAGATAGAACTTTTCCGTAAATTACAAAATCTAAGTCAACTGCATTATAAGGATATCACAATTTAATTTGGGTTCTCGAAATTTTCTCCGACTCGGAAGAAAATACAAAAGATTTAAATAACACAATACAGAGAAGATAAAATCGTATTATTAGATGAAACGAGGTGTTCTCCGTGTTCAGAATTGTATGAAAAGTTTTAATTTAAATGTATTAACTATATTTCTTTACTTAATTTTGTACTTTTCAAAAATATATCTTTGGATCAGTTACGCCATATATGGCTTTAAGGACCCTCTCTACACAAATGCATTTTTTTTCGTTTGACATTGAGAAAAATACATTGTATAAAGGAGTTATTATTTAGCTTATTTACCTACATGTAATATTCACTAGATGGTGCGTGGCTTTTACTCCTGGGAAAAATGTTCAAAGACCATACAGTATCAGTGAATAGAAATAACTGTTAATTACTTCAATAGAAAAAATACACGTTAATAATACATACAGTTTATTTATATTGGCCATTTAAAATGTCAAGAATACTTGAATTCATTAAAAATTTGGTAATATACATGTATTGTAAAGTTCTATTTTTCAGAATTAATCTCTAAGGGCAGATCACTCTACCTTCGGCGTGCAGTTTAGAGAGGATTCCTAACGAGCAAGAAGTGTGTAAAGAAGATGTTTTAAATTAGGGTGGCAGTTAATATTCCAATACATACTTTTAACAAACAGCCAAATGAATCATTTTTCTATCAGGTCACGTGCTTTAACTCTCCAAGCGAATAGATGAGACGAATACCCTTCCCGCTCCTAACGATAATTAATAACAGCTCTATTCCAGAGTTGTTTAATAAAAGTACGAGGGCTGTTCAATAAATAATGTCCTCGGTGCTCAGTACATATTAAAACACATGTCCGTAAAATGTTTCATCCAATATCTGATTGTTTTTAGAACTCATTTTTGGGTATGTCTCCTAGCATACTGGAAAATGGCAGATACAATGAATTCCTGGACTTGTGTCATCCTTCTGAAAGGTGTTTTGTTCAAGTTTAGAAATAAAAAAAAGTCAAAAGGTCAAAGATCATGCAAATATTGTTGAGGTAAAAAAAAACCCCATTTACTTTCTGTTTGTCCAGAAAACCCGTTTACTCTTCGAGCATGCAGGCTTGGGCGCCGTCATGAAGAAATTCCTGATTTTTGGTCCCTTCTCTAATACCCCCCGGGTTAGAATAGGTCCTCAGTACCCCCTTGCTTGTCAAAAAAGTCGACTAAATGGGGCGGTCATTCGGATGAGACCATATAAATCGAGGCCCCGTGTCACAGCAGGTGTAGCACGATAAAGATCCCTCCCTGCTCAAAGGCTGTAAGTGCCGAGCATAGGCCTAAATTTGCAGCCCTTCAGCGACAATGGTGACGTCTCCATATCAGTGAAATATTCTGGAGAGGGACGTTAAACACTATACAATCAATCAATCAGTCTAAAAAACCTTTCAATTTTTTTTTTTTTTTGTAAAAGAATGCTTTCTAGACTCCTCAAAAAATTAAACTGTCTCCCCGAATACGAATTTGAACAACAATACCACTAATATTGAAGAAAATTGCATATGAATCTGTCTATGTGCTCTTGCATACCTTTGTTCTTGTCAGACCATAGCCGTTATAATCAAGTACATATTATGGCAAATTTAGTTTTGAGGTTTTAAGCAATATATTCATATTCCAATATCAGTTTGAATTTAAAACAATCGTGGATAACTACAATTACTGATATTTCAAAATATGTGTGAAGACTTTCGTACACGCTCTCGTTTCACTCATTTTTCAAAATATATGGTGACCTTTGAGTACCAAGCTTTTTTTTTTTTTTTTTTTTTTTTTTTTTTTTTAAAAAGATAGATTCTTATTATAAGATTTATACTATTATCTTTTATTAATATCATGTAACAAGCATTTTTATAATTCTGAATATTTTCTATAAAATTATAATATGATTCATAAAATAAATTGTTGCCTTTATGTCAAATTAATCCTCACAGTATAATCATACAATGATACAATAATAAAATACATGAAGCATAATTCAATGTTTACAATAAATTAAATGTGTCACAGCTAAATTCAATCCATTGGATTTCTTCTTACAAATGATCATGGTGAAAAGTGCAGTGGAAATGATAGACCGATTTATATCTTAAAAAAAGAAAAGAAATTGCTAAAATAGATAAATAAGAGATTAGATTTACCACATTGAGGAGATAAATGATAATAAATTATTCATGCATTCCTCATTACATTTACAGCTCTGCAATTATGGATCTGCGGTCAAGTATTTGCATTACATTTCTGTTTGGAATAAACCTACTATTGGTTGTCAAGGTAACGTTATCTAACACAACAGGTAACAAATGAATGATAATTGTACTAAGCTAAGTATGCATTTGCAACGTGAGAGATATAGTGTACATATATAACACTTAAATAAAGAAAATATATGCATGTTTATCAAATGTAAGCAAATTTATAATGTGTAATCAATATCATTAAAAAAAATACTATAAACAACAAATTTTATATGTATAATAATATTTTTAAAACTTTATATAAGGAAAAAATATATATATTTGTCAGGACCAGCTTATTTTCAGCGTGTAAATAAACACAAAAAGTTTAGGTAACACCACTGGACAAAACTTTAATTGAATAAAACAAGAGAAAAGTCAACAGAAAATTCTTTGTTTTTGTAATTAGATATTATAGAATTCACTTTCCTCATTAACAATATTTTAGTATTATTTTTTAATTTTAGAAAGTATTATAATTGGTGTTTTTTTTTTTTTTTTTTTTTTTTACAAATATATAAATAAAATTTTAGGCCATTTGTCACATAAATTCAATATAAAGCTTTTACTCTAAAAATTCCCTTCTATAAATAACTCTTATGTGTTGAATCATTTTTTCCTTGTCGTAGGTATTGGGTCAAGAAGGTTGCCTGGCAACAAAGATAGAAAAAGTAGATAGATGTCCTCAGACAAAACATGACTGGGATTTGGAATCAAAAAAGAAGCTTTGTCCAAGCATGCGTTTACCATGCCTAAAGCACAATTTTGAATATCATTGCCTGGCCAATACTTGGCTTAACGAAACCTACTCCATCTGCGCAATACCAGATAATATTCTTGGTGTGTTTTTCTATTTTTTGCATGCATTAACATTAAAAAGATTAAACGTTTAAAACCATGATTTGCAGAAGCTAAAGCAAAGAATTAAGTTGTGAAAAAGCATCCCTACCACCATAATGTTTACGATTGTTTCTTGAAAGAAAAGCCAAATCACTAATTTACATTAATTTAAAATTACTATGATTATATTTTTTGAAAATGTAAAGCGTTTGACAAAATATCGGTTTATGTTTTTTCTTTATTATTATTATTATTATTATTATTATTATTATTATTATTATTATTATTATTATTATTATTATTTTAATTCAGGTAATCACTGTGCTGAATACAATATAAAGGGAAAGTTAGTGCAGCCAAATTATTATACAGATTGTAGAAACTTCTCTATACCATGTCCAATCAAGTATCTCTCAACACTAGCTTATAAATGTAAGTATTCCTATGAGATATCAATAAAATATACATCAAAACTCGTTTAGTACGAACACGGATATAGCGAATTTACGGATATAGCGAAGTCATTTTGGATCCCCAGCTATATAAATTTAATGAATTTCTTATACGGTTATAACGAATTACGGATATAGCGAAGTGATTTTATAGGTCCCGGCGACTTCGTTATAACCGAGTTTTACTGTATATATCTATGCTCACCTGAAAATAGTTTTTCTGAACTGTTAAAATAGATACAAGGAAAGTTAGGAAACGTGATTAGTGGTATGAGAGGAGTTGCGGATAAGAGTTGGTACCCCAAAGCGTAACAGACGGAAGGACAGACGAACGGACATACCGATTAGTAGTATATACCTCCAAACTTTATAAGCATTGGGTATAAGAAAGAAACGTGTGTAAAAAGCAATACAAAGTTTAAAGAAATGAAGATACACTCATGCAGATTTCTATATTGAGTAAAAATTCCTATATACAACGGCATAAGACTACATACAACACAACAGAACTAGTGAAAAACGAATTTTACTTGATTCGTCATCATTTAATACCTTTTAAGCTCAACTGAGACGAAGGCTCAAGTGAGCTTTTCTGATCAAAATTTGTTCATTGTCTGTCTGTTATTGTCAGCGTCTTTGTAAAACTTTCACATTTTCACCATCTCAACACCCAGTAGGCCGATTTCAACCAAACTTGGTACAAATTTTGCCTTGGTGAAGGGTATTCAAGTTTGTTCAAATGAAGGGTACATGTAATCTCCTTTTCCAAAGGGCGATAATTTTGAATTAGTGAAACATTATTGGAATTTCAAAAAAAAAATCTTTTTAATAACCATTTGTCCAAAAGAATTGTCACTCATGTTGAATCATCCTCAGGTAGTGTACTTTCAAGTTTGTTTAATTCATGACTCCCGCTGTTAGCTTGGCGCCACAATGGGCGATCAAATATTTACGCAGGAATACATGTATTTTGGAACAATGTTATAAAAAATCTTCTCAAGATTCATAGGGACAGTTAAGATGAATCCCACTTTGAATCATCCTCAGGTAATTTACATTCAAGTTTGTTCAAATAATGACCCACGGGGTTTGGTGGGGCCACAATGGACAATCAAACTTTTACATAGGAATATATATAGAGAAGAATCATTTAAAATGTTCTTCTCAAGAACCATAGGGACAAGAAAGATGAAACTTGTTTAATCATCCTCATGCAGTGTACATTCAAGATTGTTCAAATCATGACACCGATCATGGGGTAGGTTGGGGCCACAATGAACGATCGAAACATTTACGTAGGAATATTTAGGGAAATCTATGAAAAAATTCTTCTCAAACATTGCAAAGCCATGATTAGTGATGTGTATTTGGAAGCATCTTCAGGTAGTGTAGATTCTACATTGTAGTATGTTCAAATGATAAACCCCAGGGATGGTGTAGGGACACAATGAGGGATCCAAGTTTTACATTAAAATATATATTAAAAATTCTTATAAAGAATAGCAAAGCCACAATTTGTGATATTTATGTTGAAGTATCCTCAGTTAGCGTAGAATTGATGTTGTTCAAATCATAACCCAAAGGGTAGGGAAGGGCCTAAATAGTGGATCAAAGATTAACGTAAAATAAAGGGGAAAATTCCAATAACAGAAAAAAACCATTTTAGACATATTGACATGTAAGAATCCTAATGTATTGAAAATTTAAAATTGTTCAAATCATGAGAACACTTTGGGGTAAGGAGGGAAACAATATGGAGTCAAATTCAAATTTTACAAAGTAATATATACAAACAAGATATTATGTTGTATGCTGCAGTATAAATATAGAGGCATTTTCAAATAAAAATGAATTCAAACCCCCTTCTCCACCCACTCTTTTCAATTCTGGCCTGATTTGTGCTTTTTTCCTAGCCGATGTGCTCAAGTGAACGATGTGGACTCCTGGGCCTCTTGTGTAGAGTTCCTACATGTACCATAAATTTAGAATTTTAAATTAGAGTTTTGTATAATCTGGTTGGATTTTGAGGCAATGATTGAGCAAAAAAAAGGGAACATAGTATGGCGAAAAAAGCAATTTAAATGCATATATATTTTTAATTGACATATCAGGCGAATTTCTTAACAATCAATGCAACAGTCTACATGTAATACACGTATCAGTTTCACAAACTCATCGGATAAAGCATATTAAAATTTTAATCTGACTTCATCAGAAAACATTTGAACTCCAATGTAAAATATGCATTTTATACTTTTTCCAATTTCATTAATTAGATATACTTAAACTGAAAAAAAAATCGCAAATGCAAATCTTAAAGAATTAAACGGATAAAACAAATAACCAATATATACATGTAGCAAAATGCAACAGCAAGTCTTTAGAACTTTTTTTAATAGTTTTACTTGAGTGATGTCATTTCATTGATCTGATTAACATAAACAGATCAGGAGTGTTACAAATTGGTTAACAAGACAAGTCCTCAAAAAGAAACGTCAGATTTCCTTAGAAAAACAAAAGGACACAAAGATCCTAGCAGCCAAAACAAAGGTCCAAAGTATGTTGAATTTCGAGTCATTTAAGTGTTTATTCCGTATTTTATACTTATTGACTTTATTCTGAAACAAATGTGTAACATGTTATCTTTAGACATTTTTTTTTTCTTTTTATGCATCCAGGTTGCAATTCTACGATGCGAAATTATTTTTTGTCTTACTATATTTGTCCATGATATGGGGTGTGTGAATTTTATCGAGACTCCGTAGCTACCAGCAGGTATCAATCCTTACACGGATATATTTAATTTGTTGTCTTTGTTTAGGATATGTGAATTTTAACGATACTAGTATCTAATTGATAGTATTTCGACGATATCTAATTGCTAAGTATTCAATAACTTCAATGAAAGAAATTTAAAATTGTTTCAAGTTTTATGAAATGAAAAAGTTTGTTTCTTTTTAAATGAGAAAAATGAGTTTATTTTTTATCTCTTTTTTTCCATTTGTTGACTTTGTTTGGGATGGAGATATTTCAAAGGAAAATTCTAATTGCAATGTATTTTATCCTTACAAAGATATCAAAATTACTTTATTTAAAAAAAAATACAAAAGGAAAAAATATATATTTTGCTTGATTTTAAATAAGAGATTTGTGTTTCTTTATTATGATTCAAATGCAATTAACATTTTCGGTGTGTGTGAAGGTGTGTTTGTGTGAGGGAGTGTGTTTTATATGTATTATTAAAACTCAATGAATAAATAGTTATTTACTAATTACACTGATTATCATACTTTTGACACTGCATACCTGCAAACGCTTTAGGACACCATTTTAATTAATTAAGGAAAATTCAATGTTTTGATTATTTGTTTAGACTAAAAGAACATGAAAAATTGTAAATGGAATATTTTTTTTTTACATAATGGTAAGTTTGCCATGCGTTGGTTACATATCATGCATCGCACAATCTTAATCTTAACTTTAAAGCAAGATAAATAACTTTTAAATTGCTTTGTTCGTAGAGTCAAATATTTTATTATTAAATTTTATTATCTTGTGGTAATTAAACTGTAAATAGAATGACCCTGCAGTAATTCACCAAAACATGAGTTACCGGAACATTATGAAATCGAAAATTGAAAGAGTTGTTCTTCTTTTGTTAGACTTCAATGAGAATTACTGTCCTACGCGAACTTTGTTGATGATTATAACAATTCAGAAATGTATTAAGTGTTTGAAACCTTGTCAATGTATTATTTTATTTGAATTTGACGGTTATGTTACCATACATCGGACACACGTTAATTAAAGTCACACTGTCCAATGCATGACGTACTAATTCATATTTTATTTCAATCAAATATAAACCAAGAACTTTTCCCCTAAAATTAGAATTTAAAACCTTTCATTTGGAATTCAAGTTACTCAATATTAAAAAAATAAAGTGGACATCTTTATTTCTAAAATAAAGGAAAATAAAATCCTGAGAGCAAGCGCAACATCCCTATTTGAAGAGAAACAGAGAAGACATTTAGATTTATCATACTCTTGTAGATTCCAGAGATCTATGAAATTAAAATGATAATTTTTTTTTAATGAATCAGAAAAAAATATTTCCAAACAAAACTATTTGGCGGATTATTTAACCGCTGCAATAAAATATGATAATTTCCGGGTTGATCTATTTTTTCCGGATGTGTTAAGAGTATTGCCTGATTTATGATGAATTTAAGCACATACCGTATATACTCGCATATAAGTCTGTCCGCCTATAAGTCGATTGCATTCTTGAGGTTATTTTGAAGGAATTTGCAATTTACCCGCTTATAAATCAGTACAACGTTTTGGCCTTAAAAAAGATGATAATTTCAAATAAATGCTCTGATGTTTTAACCTTGTTTCAATTGATAGTTTTTTTAAATAAGGGTCGATTTTTAACTTTAAGTCATTCAAAAGTATAGACAATGCCCACTTAAGATTAAAAAAAATAAAATACATGTAAGTAAATAAATATACTAAATAAATACTTCTAATCAAGGGACTCCGATCCTCAGCCAGGAAGGACAACTCTTTAATTTATAATTTAATTCAACAAGTATTTAAATGAAGCTTGAAAATTAAATATTTTATGCAACAATTTTCATTATAATATTATGCCTCTCAATGTGCTTCAAGGTTCTTTGCAAAGCTCCATAAATCACTTCTAATTTCATTTCATGTTAATAAATATAGGTATCTAAAAATGCTTTTTCGGGATAAAAAAAAATCTACTTTTAAATAGACCTTTCTGAGAAGCTCAAAAAATTGAACGTGGAACATAAGACCATTTAATTGATATGTTGAAGTAAATTCCTTTTCATTCATTTTAAGTAAATGTTTATGATTTGTTTAAAGTCTTTCTTCGTACAAAATCGTAATTGCTTAAAAAACGTTTAATAGTATTGAACGGGGGATACTTTGTGTTATTAGTTTTCTTTTGAAATTTTATATACATATGCATTTTTCAAGATGTATTGGATATCACTTAGTTTAACATCTTTAAGTTATTTAAATCAATCTGTATAAAAGTAATAGACAATGTCACTGAAAAACTTTATTGTATGCATGTAAGCTGATTAATATTTAAATTTGAAAAATCTCATAGAACTTAAGGATACAGCAAAGGTTTCCAAATGCCAGAAGATAATTTGCTTGTAATTTTTTCATTAACAAAGATAACATATCAAATATATATATATATATATATTGTTTGAAAGCTTGTTAAATCTACTATTTAATGACCCTAATTTAAATTTTCATTTTTAACTTATTAAAAACATTAATATTTTATTGTAAATATTAGTGCATTTATATTTTATAAATCAACTTTTTTGTATTCCGCCTCTCAAAGTCAAAATTCTGCCTCAATGTCGATTAAAGATTGAACTTTAAAATCGTATCTCAGATTTTTTTAAATAAATCTTCTTATTCAGAAGTTACATCAATTTGTCTTTCAATGTTACGAATTTATTAGCCCAATTCTAAATATCCTCGAATAATTTAGAAACTGAGCAAGATATCAAAAGTCTGAGAAAGTTTTTTGAACACACATTTGAGACGCATTTTGGCCAGTTTTCAGAGGAATCGGTCAATAAAGAAGGGAGATGAATCTTTTGAAATAATACCACCAACTGTCTGATTTTACTTTACAGTAGACGGCAAAAACCCATTACACAAATTATGCCAAAGCTAGAAATATATGGCACCTTGGAGATTCAGCTGTAGATACCTCTCACTTATCCATATTTCCTATGCATATTCACAAAAAGGGGGTTCTATTCTTTTTTTAGGTGCTTTGAATGAAGTAAAACAGATTCAATTCTGAATCAGAAAGATCTCCTGGCAAAAAGCCAAGAGCTAAGCTCCACTTTCTATTTCATGGTCATAGGTGACCTGTTAGATCTCCTTCCCTAAATTTAGAGACCTCTGTGTGACTAGTGAAGAATTCCCCAAGTGGTCAGAGAGATTTTTTGCTCCTTTCAGAAACAGGCAGTTACAGACCAAATCAAAAGCTTCAATAAAGGCTCATTCAAATGTGAAAGTGTTTATGCCAAATAATTAGAAAATCATTTGATAATCAGCAAGATTTTTTCATGCATTATAAAGCAGTGGTTAGCATTGTTTTCTTAGTCAACAATTTCAAATTTGCAAAAATCTTGAAAAAAAAAAGCCTTTGGTGTATCCTTAATGAATAAGGCTATGTATGAATAAGCTAATGTTTTGTCAATAGCCCTCATATTTTTGTAATCGGTCTGGATATCATCATTTCTGCAATATTTTGCAGAGATGTGTTTATTTGTCTTTTTAGTATTTAATTTCAAAGGTTGTGTAAAGTGTATTAGTTTTGTTTCATCATGTATACATGTATATTGAGTGGCATGAAGAAAGATCCTGGAGCATTCCAAAATGGTCAACATGTATGTTATTTTTTTTTTCTACACCATTCTGGAGTATTAAATATCAACATCTTGCATATTTTAGTCTTCAGTATTCCAAGATTTTGATAAATGAATTAATAAACTGTCGATTGATTGATTGATTGTATATTGTTTAACGTCCCACTTGAGAATTTTTCACTCATATGGAGACGTCACCGTATGCCGGTGAAGAGCTTCAAATTTAGACCTGTACTCTACACTCAGGGCCATTGAGCAGTGAGGGTTCTTTATCGTGCCATCGTCTACCGTGACACGGGACCTACATTTTTAAGGCCATATCCGAAAGACCCGTGACTTTCACTTCTGATGCCGAGCGCTTGGCGAAAGAACAGTCGCTACCTATTTTTTCGTCTTAAGTTTGACGCGTCGCCGAGAACGAAAATCGAACCCGGGCCTCCCGATCACGAAGCGAACGCTCTACCGCTGGGCTACCGTGAACGGTAATAAACGGTCGATTATATGCATGAGAAAACTCAAAAATCAAGAGCATGCGTTACAGGTAGTCATTAAATTAGATAAATGGGTTCTTGTGAGAAAAAAAAACGGAGACTTTATCAGATGTATGTTTGGAGTATTGCTGTTAGTTTGTTCTTTTCAAATTCTTTATATATGTTATTGTAAATAAATTGTTAGGTTAAAAATTTTAGTGTTGTTTTTTAAAGGCAATTCCAGTTTTTCTTAACCATTAAATTTTTTTACTGAAAAAAAAATTCCTTGAATATGATCATTTTTGAAGTTGAATTAATTATGGAATCACTGTCTAGTTTTGAGAGTATGCCAAGGGCATCAACAATAGTGGGAAACATGGGATAATTTGCATAACGGGCGAAGCCCGTTATGCTAAAATTATCCCATGTTTCCCACTATTGTTGATGTCCCTGGCATACTCTCAAAACTAGACAGTGATTCCTTATATTTCCATTTCATTGTGAAATAAAATTGTAGACTTAGACATTAAGAATGTAGACTAATCGATTTAAATTACACGAGGACTTCCATGCCAATTTCAATAGTACTTGCACACAGACGTCAAACAAAAAGGCAGCCGCACGAGATTTACATGCATATTTGGCCCCCTTAGCGTCAGACACAGAGACAGATGCGCCGAGATTTGCATGCGTATTAGGCCTCCTTAGCAGCAGACCTATCGACCTGCCTAATTTACATTCCGGCAGAATTATCAGGAAATCAACTCCGCTTACTTACAAAGGGTTATTATAGGGAAAAAAATTTAGAAATGGAAATATTAAAATATCACCGAGTTTAATTTTTGTCGTAGTAATAATAATATAATATAAGCAAGAGTTACCTTTCCTTTTCCCCATCTATTTTTTTGTGAATGAGTGATCGGGTGTTTATTTAAAAATCGTATACTCTCTAGAAAACCCTATTGTATATTTAAATAATCTGTGTAAAATTGAATGACATAAATAGTTAAAACGTTTCAATCGAAAAGTACATGTTTTTTCGTTGTCAGCCACTAATATATCATTTCATTAAATACCACCGAAAACGAAAAAAGGTAGGAAGGGGTTCAGTGAGTGGATACTGTATGCATGAAAATTTTCGCCCGAGTTTCATTTTCGCCCTTTTCGCCATTGTCACAGGTGGGCGAATATAATGGGGCGAATTTTATAAAAACAAAACTATAAACTCTTTGACAGAAGTGCGAAAGGGAGAATTTAAATCCAGTCAAAATTGTTCGCAAGTTTAAAAGGGCGAAAATACCACGGGGCGAAAATAATACTGTACACAGTATGCTAGCTACTTCAGATCACTTTCATAATGATTTATCTTTAAAAAAAGTAAAATTGCCAGAGAGATATAAAGGGCCCTTTGGTAATCTGAAGCACGCAACAAGGACGTTTTTTTTTCCTTCTTTGATTTGGATTCATTCCAAGGTAGTACTTTCAGGGGTCCCTGTGTTCTCTAAATTTATAATATTCAATATGTAATGCAACTTTTGAGAAAGAATATGTTTTTCTTTCCTTTGCATTTCATTTATTGAAATATTTAGAGACAAAGCGGAACAAATATATGTATTTTAATATTAGTTTGAGCAAAACCAGAGAAGTATAGTTATCAGATCTATAATTTTAGGACATTAATGTGCATTATTAGGTAGCTAATTTTCACACTCTGGGCAGCATGGTACACTTATGTATTCATTTTCATGTGAAACTTTCGTAGTAGTTGTTAACTGATTGTCGTCAGAGACTTCCTTTACTTCTGTATCGCAGTCGAGTTCATATTGAGAACATGGACTGATGTTGTAAAGTGTTTCGTCTTGTCTCAATTGTTGAATTGTGCACACATGCCATTGGGTATGGCCATCTATCGAATCACCTTTTCTGATTTGTTCCCGTTCTTCTTTATAAACATCAGTGTTTGAATAGCAACTATTTTTGGTGTCTGTATTGTCCTTGTCTGTTGTAATTTCCAAGAAGCAGGAATTGTTTTCTGTGCAGTGTGATATTATGATTTTCGTATTTCTTCTGCATGTATTTTTAACAGTATTTTTTGATTCAATCAATGCACATTTAATTTCTTTCTCGTTAAAAACTACATAATTTCTTTTAGCACGACGTTTACATATAAAAACATTGATTACTGTGATCAAAATGAGTACAAGTAGTACCCCGGCAATAAAAAGAAGGAAATCGCGAAGGGAAAAAGAAATAATTTGATTAATAGAAGATGGCGACTGGAGACTTTTCAAAGACAATTCGTTGTGTATAGATGATGTCGTAACACTAGTGAAGAATTCATAGGAGTCTGTAGATGACTGATCCGATGATGCATAAAAATCTGTTGTGTTGTCTGAAAAAAAAATTACATACCATAGACAACAGGCCCTAAAAATCCTAAACTGCAAACATAGATTAAACAAAATACTGTTTCTGAAAATCTTTGAGCTTTATTTTTCATGTGAAAAAAGCAATATTTGGATAATATTTAAATACAAACACATTTTTTTATATTATAAAAAAAATTATCAAAATTATTTCAGAATTTTTATTCAGTTGAAATCTTGACATACACCTGTTCATAGGCTATGATAAGTCCGTAAAAATGATAAGATATATGTATCTCAACTGTTAGATATAAAATATACCTAAACAACCCGTGATAAAGTTACACGTCTGTTGTTCACATTGGCATTTTTCATCACAGTCTGTTCCGTAATGTGGATATGGACATGACATATTACAGTAAAGGCCGTAATACCCTGTGCTACACTCTGAAAAAAGGAAAGAAGATTAATATAAAAAATGTTGAAATGATTAAGAGTTTTCTACAGCCTTTCCGATTTTGCTAAGGGAGAACTTTTGAATAGAAAAAAAACAAGACTGTTTTGAAATTTATAGTGATTTGTTTTTTTCAAGTGACATTGTTTTTTAAATCTAATATGTTCTTTTTTCTTTTACTTTGTTCGATACTATTTGATACAGCATAAGCATATGAAGGCAAATAGAGCATGCATGTATTATGCATGTATGTTCATAAAATTAATATTGAAGTTGAAGTCTGTTATTATTATACATGTATGTAAGAAATATTTTATATTTGTAAAGAGCAATTGTCCATTTTTTGTTGGTAACCTTTAATGCTAATATAAGCTTCAATTTGTGTTTATTGATCAAAACCTTTAATTTGATCAATAAAAATTCAACTTCAATAAACATTTGTCTTTTATCCTTTTTCATAGCAGTTGGGAAAAGAGAAGGCATAAAAAGTATTTACTTCTACAGCCCTGCAGTTCTTCATCCCATGTAAAGCCGAAGCAGCATTTATTTTCCCTTGTGAAAAAAAATGGATAAATAGTTCAAATGGCTTCAAATATTCAGAGCATGGAAATTAAATTTGAACTTCAATTACATGTACATACATATACAGTGATAACGAAAAAAAATAAATCCTGATATTGAAAGGTCTGGTTTCATGTTTCCGGATTCTGATATAAAATTACAATGTTATATTTACATGTAAATGCAATTAAAAATGCAAAATAATTGTACATGCGCAGTATCATGTACATGTAATTGGTTATATATGCATAATTATGTTAGATAAATAAGGCACATAAGATAACAGAAAAATATTACTTCAGGCGTAATTTGTATATTCCTCCACGTTCAATAACATTTTTTTCTCAATCATTATAAAACCTGAAATGAGGCCTTAAATACCGAAATTAGGGTAAGTAATGACAGGATAAGGAACTTTTTTTTCTCAATGTCCCTGATAGCCGAAGATAGGTTAAACATTAAAACCCTCCATCGGATTTTATCTGAGCGTCCCTATAAATATCACAAAGGACGTAAAATAGGTCAATCAATAAAAATATAAAGCAGATCTAACAAAATTTTCTTTTAATGTTTTCATTAATTTATTTTAATTATTTTTCTTCCGCAGAATTGTTCTGTAGTTGTTATATCATTGATTCCCTACATTAAGATTCTAAACCTACATGAAATACTGTCATTGGTTTTAAAGACCGCGTTAGATTATTATTGTTTTATTTTGCAAAACCGCGAAGTTTATTCATTTGTAAGAACGCTCATTTCTGAAATGTCCGTAAAAAATCCAAATAATATTTCAGCGTATTATTCAAAAATCTTAAAAGCAACCAACAGTTTGAAAGTTATTTATATACAAGAAGCAGCTCACTTTCACAAAATGGAAAGACTCCTTTAAAGAAGATATTTGAAGAGGAAGGGGGGGGGGGGGGGGAATAGAAGACATGACGGACTCCAACCAATAGCAAAAGAGGGAAAATATTTATATTTATATAAAAAAAAAATAATCAGATTCTTGGAAAGCACGTTGACGGGGACATATTCCTAAGTAGAAACGGTGCCATGAACTTTGTTTTCAGTAAATTAGGAAGTACATGGTTGAATGTAAACCACTCTATCACGATGCGAAGTCTTTAAAGAACAAGCAGAATACAAAATTTTTTAAAAAGCAAGAGAAATTACATTAATGCATATTGTTTTTTTTTTCTCTCAAATATATGCAATTTAGATTCAGTCCACTTCATTTTGTTCTTAATACATGTGTAGGACTCCAAAGTGCGATGGGACTCCAAAGTCCGATGGTCTGCGCCAATCTCCGATGGTTTGGCACACCAAACCCCGATGGTGCTGAAAACAATTTACGTTTAAGACGTCATAATACGTCATAATGCGGCAAACTACAATGCTTCACCATGCCAAAATTTTAAATAAGCATGAAAAATCATTATGCAAAAACTAACCTTTATCTCTCGGTTAGGTGCGAAACTAACCCTAATCGCTCGAAAAGTGTGTAGGCCTAACAACTATATAGATACCTAGATATCTTGGGTGGGTGCGATACTAACCCTAATAACTCAACTAGTGTGCGAGGACTAACCCTAAATCAATAAAACTAAAAGGATTAACCCTAAACAGTTGAGTTGTGTGCGAGGACTAATCCTAATATTTCTGAAACATGTAAGTAATACACAAAATAAATAAAAGCGTATGCAAGGATAAATTCGGAAATCATGGCCTTTGAATGCAGGAAAACGGCGTCAAGGATTGGCTTCGAATTATTGTGACGTCATAAACGTTGATTGTTTCTCCACTCCATCGGACTTTGGCGTGTCAGATCATCGCACTTTAGCGCAGGGTGTGTCATAGGAAACGAGCCATCAGACTTTGGCGTGACCATCGGACTTTGGCGTCCGTGACGACAACAAACCCTCGGGGTTTCGCGCAGACCATCGGGGTTTGGCGAGACCATCGGGCTTTGGCGGCACCATCGGACCTTGGAGTCTTAAACATGTATTATCACAAAATGGTTTTTAACAATGTATTTGTATATGGGGTATTTGAGACTTTTCTTTCAATACTTATTTTAAATTTTGAATAAAATACATAATGAAAAATTCAACATAATTTTCTTTAAATGTCCTTGGTGAGAGTTTCATATGATACGAATGAAAATCCTTTTTATTTTTAAACTTAGAAATAATTTACTCCGGAAAAAAAGAAAATCTTTTAAGCATACAATCATATTTTTTTGGTCATATTATTTTCTTTTCCTACACATATAGAAAAGTTGTTGTTACTGAAGCACTAAAGAAGAAGGTATGGTTTCCATACAAATTTTGCCCTGTGATTTTCAAAAAAATGAAACTGGTGTAAAAGTTGAAAACTCATGCTTTTTAAATAATTGAAATTCAAAGCAGAAAAATCATACAAGTCATATTTCTCACATGTGATTTTAAATGCTAATTGTGACGTCATTAACTTGTGTATGTTCCCATATTTTCTTAAAAAGCTGCAGAAGACACCAATTTTCAATGGAATTTTCTTTCAGATAACATTGTCCACAGGCATCGCCCACAAAGATCTTGAGATATGTGATTTGTTATTGAATTTTGCACAAAATATTAAAAAATTAACGTGGGCGACAGCTGTGGACACTGTTTTCTAAAGGAAAATCATCCTTGAAATGTGCCATTTTGAGCCTTTTTCTGTTGAAAATAGAGAAATGCGTCACATTAATGACGTCATATTTGCAGAATGGTAAACCTTCATGCCATATTCTTTCCTGATTTATCAGAGTCATTTATTTAACTAATATCTAAACCAGTTTCAAAACTTTTTAATGTCATTACATTTTTAGGGCGCAATAAAGCTAAAACCATACCTTCTTCTTTGTAAGATTTCACTCAGCCTTGTTATGCATACCTTGCCTTTTTTCTAATATTATTTGGTAAAGTAATACCTCACCCCCATAAAAATTGTTATAAATTCAGAAAATTCATCTTTAATTTTATTATTTAATTGTAATTCGAGTCAGAAAATATAAACGTTATTTATTTATTTTTTGATGTCAAAATGTACCACAACATGTCTCATATCATTGGAAAAAAAATTATACTTATTGCTTGCAAGTTATTTATTCTTCATAATTTCTTTCCTACGTTGGGGATGAAATACGCATAATATGATTTGCCTATTGTCTGCATATCATTTAACGTGCCTCTCATGATTTTTTTTTACCCATATGAAGACGCCATCACTTGCCAGAGAAGAGCAATAAATTTTAATCATTGTCCGGCTCAGAGCAATTGAATAGGAAGGAAACTTTATGGTTTCAACACTTACTCTAGCACGGAAACTCGGTTTAAACAGTTTCATCGAAAGGACTGCTATTCACGTCCCATGTGACCACTGCGCTACGCGCTCGTCTGATTTGTTTATAATATATGAATATAATTTTGTTTGATGCTCGTATAAAATTGGCCTTTTAATGAAAAATGATTTTGTAGTATATATTTCATATAAATTAGCTGGGTTTTTATTATATAGAGATGTGAAAGAATTCAATTTCATCAAAAATAATTTCTTACCCGTCACATCTCCGAGGCTTTAGCGTTGTACTATTCCCTTTCAATGCTTGTAAATAAAGCATAAAAATAAAAACAATAATAACACTTCTACATGCTGTCATTTCTCCCAACTCTCTGACATTGGTGTTTGCTAAAACTTTTATATTTCACGGAAATATAAAAAAGATCAGAGTATAAATGGGTCATTAAAATTTGCATTTCCTTTATTCGGGGAAATCTGATTTTTCTTCGCTGGAGCCATTTTTATATTGACTTTTCACTAAGCATTACAGTATCATCCATGTTTTTCCTTGCTAGCCTACACATATTAACCCTTTCGTTCCAACATTTACCTTCTTGAAGACTTCCATTTGACATAAAAAACAATAAAAAAAATCCATTGTTAAATCAATTATGGATTGACCAGATGGACGAAGACACAGTCCATTAATAGAGTCTCTTCCCTTAATTATTTTTAAAGCTTAAAGGTTTTAAAGAAATGAGAACCCTGCAGGTTTTTTTCTACTGTTTTGTGTGAAATATTGGTGATGACTCCGAACTGGAATGTATGAAAGAGGAAGGGATAGACCTTTTCGAATCAAATTAAGTAAGAGGTAGAACATTGCTTTACAATATAAGATTTCTAACTTTCGGTTTGCAACTTTAAACACATTAAATAATACTTATTATATTTATTCTGTTTATCCGCAATTATATTTTTGTGAAGATCAGTTAAGAATATTTAATTTTCGGAGTTTGTGAATGTACATCTAATGTTAAACATGCTCATGTCAGCAGGGGGGGGGGTGTTTTTGATTTAAAAATGCAGAATAACAGAGACTGAAAAGGAAACAACATTCACTTAAGTACACTGCTGTCATTTTCTTTTCTAAAAGAATGTGAAATGAATGATGTCTCGAATGATAATATGACCTTAATATTCATAAAAGATGCATTCAGTCTGTGCTTTTTATAATATGTTTTTTAGTTAACAGATGCTGCGTGCAACAGAAAAATCTGTAAGATTTATGTCCCGCACTGCCATTCTATGTATACACATAATAACTCATTAAGTCTTTACAGTTTAAAGCAGCTTTCAGTGCCAACAATTCAAAATGCTTGAAACTTCACAAGACGCTCCACTTTTTGGACTTTGTGACACTACATATAGGAGACTCTATCTCAAGCAAATTACATCAAGCGATTTTTTTATAACTAATAGCAAATATCATCATGAGTTATTACATAGGATAAAATATTATACCTTTTTTTTCTTTTAAAACTTTTTTCTCAAATATATGTGCAAAACCTGTTCATAAAACAACGAGTAATCCAACAGACACTTGACCTTTAATGATAGTGTTTAAGTGTGTAGCTAGATTGTGTACTTTTACATTGAGGGGGTAGACCCACAATCAAAGTGCTCATGGCAATATGCATGTAAACCATGCTTCATTTTCACTATACCCTACAATTTAGACCCCTTGAATGAGCTGGTACCACACAATCGGACTCTATCCCGGTACGACGGTTTACTTCATCGCAGATATAACTGATCAAACCAGAATTCATTTTTAGTCTTATATATAAATCATGAATCCAAAACTTTTTGTAGTATATTTATTAAGTCATTAACTTATGAGAAATTTACATGAGTCTCAATCTTGCTTCTTAATATTTTTGTGCTTTCAATCCACGTACCAGAAAAGCGTGAATTAAGGAACAAAAATATTTTTACATGGTTCTTGATTGAAATCATTTGTACGTAGTATCTAATATACAATTTCGCTTATTTTGCAAATGTGTGACGTAATAATTAGTTTTTCCTGTACTTGAGGAATATAAACATGCCATGTTTAAAAATATGTGCGTTGAGGAACAAGCATATTTGAACTCATAACTTTTTTTATTTATAGAATTTCGTTTTAAAGCGTGCTCTACGCATCATTTATCCTTAAATTCGAGGCAACATTAAAAGATGACTCAATAACGAACTTTCACTTTTCCATGGTCCTAAAAACTGAATATTAGATGTAATTAAAAGACTTTCATTGCTATAGCTTGACGTCTCTATATGAGTTACATGTAAAATATTTCGAGCTGGATTTGAAAGAAATAATTAATCAAACTGAGTCTTGATACTTTTTTTTTCAATGTTCTAATTAATTTGTTTAAATTTCAATGTCCTTCAAAGATGATGTAACTCGTCACATCACTAGGGTTTCGGCCTTTTACTTTTTACGATAAATGTTTTTAAAAACAAATATGAGATAATTTGCAATTGTTGTTTATTTATGACATCGATCTTTGTAGTTAGGTTGATATTTCAAAGAAATATAGAATAATATCTGAGTATGAACGTTTACGAGTCATAAAAAATATGCATTTCCTTTATTCAGGGTAATTTGATTTTTCTTTATTAGACCTTTCCTTTCTGACCTACAATTACAATATTACAACACATCGTGTTTTTCCTGGTGAGGGAACATGAACATGTACACATCCTTTCCTTGAACAAAAAATATTTTTGAAAACTCATTTGACATCAAATTCTATGGAAAGCCCTTTGAAACAGTGATTGTGTTATGAACAGGAAGATGAACATTCATTCACAATATCGAATCTCTCCTCTAATATCTATTTAAAATTACATGTAAATTGATAATCGCTAAATTTAAATATTCCGATAATAGCAAAAATAATTATTAATGAAATTGATTTATGATATCCGATAATCATAATTTTTTTATTGATTATTCTCTTAGAAAAATGTTTTCTCCCTAATCACATCAACAAAGCTACCTCATATAGAAAGTACGAGGAATCCTACATTCACTTCACATTTGACGACAGACGTAAAGTGTGCAGACGAATCATATGCTCGAAATTAAAGGGGTAGTCCTCCAAACAAAGAGCTCAAGGCGTTATGTTTCATGCTTATTCCGTTTTTAAGATGTCTATTCAATAACAACCCGTAAACCACTTCCATGGCAAAGATTTTAAGCATTTCCAGACAAATAAATATTAAGATTTCGATGCATTTTTTTAGCATTTCTTGTAATTTTTGTACACATTAATGTATATATATTCTGAAAGCAGGTATTGTGTAGTTTCTATAAATGATTATAAAAATATAATATCAGTTGCCATGGCAACGAAATACACAATAATGATGCTGGAATTTCCATTTATTCAAGAATTTGTTTCATTCTAGGTATTTTCTTATTTTGCTTAGTTAAATATATTAAATAATATTTAATTGTAGTGATGAAAATTATGAGCATGTTGTAATTTATTTTACAAACCAATTTTAAGTATTTGGGGAAATGGGCTGGAAGGTAATTATTACAATTTTGCATTTTTACATTTAATGTTTTACCCCTGCATTGATTTTGATAATGGTAAAATCGTTCAAATATTGCACAAAGTTTAACTCAAGCCAGCTAAAAACTGGTACAACCAATAAAAAGAATTTCCGTATATTATTTTTTCATATATTATTTTCTCCTTCCAACGGTGCAAGATTTATTCTGAAATTTGCAGTACTAACAAAGTTATGAATTTTTTCACACTTTTTTTAAGTCAGATGCGTAGAAATGCGTATATGCTATGTAAGGGGTTAAATGAACTGTCACCACACAAAGCGAATTTATCCTGGCCTGGTATTACAGTTTACAAAAATTCCTGTTTCATCCGTAGATACGAAATGCAAGTAATTCTATAATATTTATTTCCAAAACACAAACTTCAGATTTTTTTTTCAAAAACTTCTCTGAACAAGTCAAATAAATTAATAAGCACTTGATATAAAATTATAATTTATAAATATATTTTAGAATATGTACTTATCATAATGGATTAGTCTCACTTTCTTACAATATCTAACCCAAATAAATACATTCACTTCTCCTTTCATTATCTCAATTCAATTTGAATTTTTTTCAATGACCATCAAATAATGTTAGGGGCTAAAATGTTTCATATTACAGTCTTTACCTTAAAAGACAAATCAGATATTGAATTTGATGCGAAATGTCAAATTGCACAGATGAATAAGTATACAGTGACACATGGATACAAGACAGGAGAACGAGGCAGTGTAACGTTTATCTCAACCAAAGATATTTAAATTAAGCAATCTCTCTCTCTCTCTCTCTCTCTCTCTCTCTCTCTCTCTCTCTCTCTCTCACGTTTTTTGCTCACATACCTCTACACTACTTTTTGTTTCACAGCTAAGGCAACTATGTAATTTTAGTTTTATTAAGTGAGCATGATTTAATTGTTGATACTAGTTGTAGGTTATCTTGAAATTTGAAAGCGTATAAGATGTGCACTTCTTCTCGGCATATCCAATAACGTAAAAAAAAAAATGTGAATTCTATATATGTAGCATTGAAAATTTATTTGACATTTTCCATGTAGCAAAATGTAAAACTGTATATACTCGTAATCACCATTTCATATACTCCAATAATTTTTATTAAGTGGCTTTACTTTCATTTATTCATGCAGCAATACGCACGATTACATTTTCTATTAATTATTTAGAATAATTTCTAAAAAGAAAAAAATCTGCATTGAAAAAAACAACATAATTTTTAAAATATTTAGAACCTATGTCTTACGTTATTAGGGCAATCTATATTCTGTAGAAGTACTTTTTCCGCATGGTATTAATATACGCTATGTACGCGGTCACAAATTTTTCGCGGAAATTTGTCCAAGAGTACTTAATGTAAATGTAAGGCATTTAGTAACAGTCTAAGAAATCCGCGTAATTTTCTACCCTCGGATTATACAGAAATTGAGATTCTGCGGAAATATGACCCCGTGGAAAAAAGTACGTCTACAGTATTTCTAATATAACTCGAATAAAACGAAGCAGCACATTTCTATATTAAATGCCTAGTCGAAATTCGCACTGGAAGTCCAAACAAATATTGTATGATAAAATCTTATCCAATTTATTTCAATGAGTTTTTTTTATCCTGACATAAAAAGTTTCTTATGACAATCTAGTGAGTATTTATTTGAGAATGGTCATTCATTTCATGGCACTCTTTTTATAAAAATGAAAACTACATGTATTGATCTGTGATGTTCCATGAAGTTCAAAAATTGTAATCAAGCATAATATTCAGCATGTAGACATATTCGGGTGAGCAATATAAATGTCAAAAAGGATTTTCTTACATGATTCCCGAGCTAATATACACCATGCCAAAGACTTGTATGATTAAAATATCTAATTGCTCAATTATAGATGTTGTATGATTCGAT